AAGGTAACGAATTTCCAACAAACAAAAAAATGGAAACATTTCTAAAATTTCTAAATACAAATAAATGCAAAAAATTAATAAATTTATACATATTAAAGAAAGAACTAATAATAAAAAATGTTAATTGTTGAAAAATAATACTGAACAATGTAATTATTAAGGAGAACAAACAAATGAGACATGGCTCTCATAAGAAGACACCGAAAAATAAAACAAACAAATCAAAGTATGTTCATAAAAACTTGTTTCTAAATAAATAAAAAAAAATGTAAGAAATCCAGCAACTTTTTATTTAACAAAAGGTTGAGGAATAAAACTGTACGCTAAAAAAAAAAACAACATACAAATAAAACAACAAATTATTTTCAAATTCAAATTTCAATCAAAAATCAAACCATAGATGAAACAAAAAAAACCAAATAAAATTAACAAATTGTATTAACGGCAACAACAACAACAAAATTTCCCAAAACAAACTCAACTATGTAGATTCAGTAAAAATTTAATATTAAAAAGAAACAAACAGTAATAAAAGTATATAAATATTTAAAAAAAGAACAACAACAAAAATGAATTTGTAACTGGTTTAAATAAAAATTGTAAAAAATAAGAAAAAAAAGAAAAATTGTGTTAAAATTTTCGAAAACCAGAAGGATTAGGTATTTTAGATGAAGGTTTGTATAGCTGATTATAAGGATGACTACGCATTACATTATTAACTTATAATTAAAATTAGGCATGGTAGAAAAATTTTGTCAAAATTTTCAAAGCGTTTTTCAAAAATAAATAGATTTTTATATTATTTTTTTATACAATGCCAATCGGAGGTTGTTTGGCATGCATGCATTTTTCAACAATTTTTACAAATTGCAATATTTTTTTCATTCACTGTCCCAGCATCTGTGTCGATGCCATTACCTGTTTTCTTTTACCGTGCCATGTCATTGTCAAATTTATACTTTTTAGTTCTTCCTTAAATATGGGCGTACGGCTGCAAAGAATTTTGCATTTATTTTAGACGAAATAAAGTCAGCGAAGAATATAATCTAAAACGGAAAACGTGTTGGAATAGTTGAATGTGTTTTCGCTTAGGACAAGTATGAAGGCAACATCGCGCCTTGTTCACAACAATCCTCGTAAAAAGTTGTTATCTATCATTTTTAGCAGAATTGGCTTTAAATTCGTGACAAGAAATTGACAGTGTAAGTTTTCGTTTTAGTACAGAATCCATCTGGGGATTCGATCCTTAAAGGCGGGCCTAAAGTAAAACATTATTTGAGCCTACACAAGAACTAACGTCATTGAAAACGTTTCCTTAAGTTTATAAGTTTAAGTCCAAAAATAGATAAACTAGGCATGTCTAAAGTGAGGGTAAATAAGCAGCTTGGCATCATGGCTAGGCATATTAATGTCAAATTAAAAGGCTAAACGACGGCAAGTCTCAAGTGCAACTCTGACATCCCTTTACGATATGTCACAAAATATGCCATGCGAAGACTTAACGCTGTTTATGTGCTCACACCTTAGGACATGGGACGTAAAACTGCTTTCACGTGCCAAGGAACGCCGAAAATTAAAGATTATTTATTATTTTTGTAAAATCTGCCACTCGTCATGCGAACATATTTTAGATACGAAATTAGATTTTATTTAAAATATGACAAGGTGAAGTTTGTCAGAAAAGGGTTGCCAAATTCAAATTAGCAAATGACTTTACCCCATGGTAAAAGAATACAGGTAGATGCATCAACGCTTGGGAGCATTGATATGTCAAAAAATTTTAAATGTTTTTTCAAATATGAGTAGATTTTTAAACGCTTTCTTATACCATAAATTTTGACAATATTGTCAAATGAATAATTTTGAAAAAAAGTTGTTGTCATATGATTTTTCTTAATTTTACCATGATTAAAATTGTTTAAAAAAGGCATAACTTAACAACCCCCAAATAGCGTCGTATAAGAAACGTATAAAAATAGAAATATTTTTGAATAATTTCATTTAAAAATTTTGACTTTCAGTGTTTCCAAGCCTTGACATGTTTGCATTTTATTTCACAAGCGAGATCGGTCAATTGTTCTCCTTTGTTGACAGCACTACCTATTCAATACACCTTGTTTGTTTTTTTTTTTTTTTTGGGATTGTGAAAACGCCCTGTGCGACGTAACAGGGTGTTCTTATGTTTGACGAATTACACTATAAACAGAAAGGAAGCGGCAGGCGTTTGACGTCACCGAAATGTGTCGCACGTAGCATGTGAGATCCGTTTCAATAGTTTTTAGTGATAAAAGTAACAACAGAGCGAGCTGACATCGGACAATGAAAGTTTTATATATGTTTTGTCAAATTTTGCATACATAGAAGTTTTACACATAGTGTTATACATGGATGACGTTTTAGTTTTGAGTAAAATACATGTCATGGTAGAAGAATACACGCTTGGGAACATGAATATGTCAAAATTTTTAAAACGTTTTGTCAAAACTAATTATTTTTTTTATATTGATTGTTATAATAAGCATTATTCAACAATTTTCACAATTTTCAATATTTTTTCATTAAAAATTTTCAGTTCCAAAATCGGTTTGACAGTACATTGGCCTGGCAGCTGTGTTTACCATGGTACATGTGTTATTTTTCAATCACAGCGAGCTCTATTTTCATCGGAAAAATATAATCTAATCAAATGTTTGTTGGTTGTATGAAAATATATAAAATTAATTTTGCGGTAAAAATGGATCAATAAAGTATTATAATTTTATAGAAAATACAATATAATCACAATTTAACCAAAGGAAATAAAAAACATATGCAAGTGTGTGATGGCAAGAATTATGAGTAAAATGGCAATTTTAACATATAGACGGAAATATTCATGAACAATGAAAGTGACAGCACAAAGTAAAACTATTATCGTCCAATAGCAGCCTAAAATTGTTACATGCTCTCATAGAAATGGAATGAAAAATATGGTTGAAAAATACGGAAACGGAAAAATAACAACAATGAGACAAAAATATCAATTTCGTTTAAAAAAATCAAATACATGGTGTAAAATTTTTTTGTAAAATATTTTTGTTTTAAGAGATATGAACATTTTGCAATTTTGCAAAAATGAATGAAATTGTTGCCATAGATTAACACATTTTTACATCATCAGCGGATTTTTTAACAGCTGAGAAAAATTTTCACAGTAGGAAATTGTAAATTCTCAGTAACTTAGCTGTCAAAATTTCTAACTTCACTCACTCCCAGTTGCTTGACTTCTGAGTGATCGAAAAACATTTTGTAATAATTTGTGCAAATTATTAGGTTATCGCACACAAATCATAACTTTTATTTATAATTACGTTTCTACATAACTATACTATATACCTATTTCTTTTAATTACACTACTAACACCCAGTTTTTGTAAAGAAAAGGTGCTTGATGCTCGATTCGTCCGTGCTCAAACGTATTCGTTTTAATTGGGGTTTTCATAAATATTTTGGAAGCTCCCGTCCATTCTCGAAAAGCTTTGATATGATACCAGTGTTTTCATAACCATTATTTTTTTTATTTTTTATTTAATTTCATTAGGTGTTGTGCTGGTTGTGGCAACCCGAATAAATTCAAAATTTATCAAAAAATTGTAAAATAAAATTGAAAAATGTTGCAAAAATTTTTGAAGAGTATGGACCAGCAAGTTGCGCCAGCAAAATCTTGATGTATTACAATAGTTCATATGTTAATTCCATGGTAGAAGAATATAGGTAGTCGCATCGACACAGCTGCTGGGACATCAACTGTCAAACCAATTTTGAATATTAAAATTTTGAATGAAAATTTATTCAAATTCGTTAAAACTGTTGTAAAATGCATATCATAACAATCTCTGATTGACCTCGTATAAAGAAACACATAAACATCAACTTATTTTTTAAGAAATACCTTAAGAAATTTAACATATCAATATTCCCAAGCGATGTTTTCTACTACCATGGTTAAATCTCTTTCATGCGCATACAATTTTTGCGTAATTCTGAAACAAAGGGCCAATTTATGTTCCTATTGTTTTTCGACATTTTCGTTTGTATTTTTAGGAGAGGGTGGTGTTTAAACTTTCTATATATATTTTCTTTCGCCAAATTTTCAAAACAAAAGGAACTACTGTTGCAAAAACAGGCTGTAAGTAATGGATTGAAAACAACAAACAACAGCAATAAATGTTTACTTTTTTATAAAAACTTAAGGAAACCATATTAAATCACATTTCAACTATAAAGTTCGTTAAGCTGCCCTCAGACACACCAACAGTTGGCCCAACTTGTCACTTTTAAGTTGTATGAAAAAGTTGGTCACGTACCAACTTTTCATACAACTGTTGTACCAACTTTTCATTTACAAAGTATTTTTGAAGCGTCAACATGAACTCGGATGCTCTTGCGCTTCTTGGAATTGATATAATTTGTTGTTTTATGATTATGTTTTGTTTTCGTTTCTCTTCTTGCGCTCAGCGCTCAGCTTATGTATATGCTGCTTCACCAAAGTGAAGACATAAATGAAGAAAACACTGAAGTTGGTACAACTTGCCCTCGCACGCACTAACAGTTGGCCCAACTTACGAAATTATCAAAAATTTTTATATTTCCAACCAACTTCAACCAACTTTCGAAAAAGTTGTACAACTAGCCCTCAGACGCACCAATAGTCGTACCAACTTGTCACAAGTTGGGCCAACTGTTGGTGTGTCTGAGGGCAGCTTAAAGTTCTCATTTCATTTGTGAAAGTTTACATATACTTTGGTAATGCTTTATTATGTTATGAATAGCTATCATTTCGAGATGATTTACCAGGTACACGGATTTATTTCGAGTTATCATTTCAGTGTGATTCGCAGAGACGCCGTCGCTTCGATGAATGTTATGAACAGCTCTGCTCTCTAAAAACTGGCGCTCGAATTTTGTGGAATTGAAATGAAATGAAACGATATAATATGGGGGAAACGCTCTGGAAGCGAACTACGTCGGAATCTCTGAAATTGGTATCTGAGTCGAAAGAAAAAGACCGACACAACGACAAAACATAGCGTTAATTTATTTGTGTTGTGTGGTGTTAAAAGTAGTCGTCGAAGGGTTCATTTGAAAGAAATTTTTATTGAAATCAAATAATCTGAAATTGCCCAGAAAACGAAAGCAGTTCATTAGTTGGAAGAGGAAATAAATCAGGTTGACTATCCAGCAGCAGTAGTTCCAGAGATCAAGGGCTGTAAGTATTACAAAAGAAATAATGAAAACGCAAAGTAGCAGCAAATGCAAAAATGTTGGCGAAGAAAAAAATTAGAAGAAAACTGCAACGAACAGGTATTGGTGGTTTGGTGGCGGCGAAGAAGAGAAATAAGTGCCGAAATTAATTAAAAATTCATAATTTTTTATTTAATACGAAAAAAGGCAAGCGAAACATCTTGTTAAGAAAAAAAAAAACATGTGTGCGTGTATGTAGTTGTTGTCCAAGTAATTTTTTAATATTTCCTCGATTTTGTGATATGTGAGTGATGCGTTGTTTTTTTTTCGCTTGATGTGACAATAATGAAGAAATGGCAAAATAAAAAAAACAAAGAAAAATCTTCATACATTTCTTTGCAACAAAAATTGACGTGCATAGGCAGACATTGAACTTGTGAAAGGAGACTAGGTTGGCTATCTGGCTGGAAGGAAAAGGCTTTTCATTTTCTCTCTTCGCGAATAGAATTGTCAATTTTTGATTTTATTTTTGCTAAGAGTCAGCCGCGGCCTGCCTTCCAATCGATCAAATATTTTGTTCGCTAGCAACAGCCAGTTTTGGATCCCTCAGATCTGAAATCAACACACATACGCACATTTATTATCTGCGCTGATGCCTGCCTCTGCTACTGCTGCATTCTACTGCATTAGGAACGGTAGACACTGAATCGCACACTCACTCACACTCATCTTTGGGTATGTGGGTCTTCTTTGGCTGTCAATGCACCACGCATTCCCTGAGAGACAAATCTCAAAAAAAGCAATGGGGTTGGGGAGTTATTTTACTTGAATGGCCAACCAAGCAGCCAGCCTGCCTTCTTACATACACGCACTTTTTACTGCTTCTTCTTATTTTTTTTTCGCCCAATACCACCGCCGCCGCCACATATCACAAAAACTAAAAGCAACACAGTAGCAGAATTTTCATACGTTGTTTCTTTGCTTGCTTTCAATTCCAGCCAGCCAAATAGAACCAAACACACACGTACGCAACCAAGAGGTAGAAAATATCTCCAGCTTTTCTTGTTTTGTTGCTACGGTGGTGTTCTTCGTTAGCATACCGAAATAGAGAAGAAAGTGGTCAATATTGTTTTTGTTTATTTTTCTCTAGCGGGACATTTTGTAAGTCGAACTGAAAATAGTGTTTTGTATTGAAAATGTCTAACTTTATTTCATAATTTCAGAAAAACATTTGTTTTTGTTGTTGGTGATTCGCAGCCAGCCAACAACCCATCCCAGCTCCAACTTCGTTATCAACTGTAGGCCACCAAAAATAAAACAACACAAATTACAATGGAGAAGAGAATAGATTTGGAGAGACGTGCTCGTAAAGCTAATCAAGTAAGTGTCCCAACTATGTCGACAATCATTAGAAATTAATTCATTTTCTAATTTAGTCTCAGAAAAAAACATTTGGAAAGACATTTTGAGTAGTCCTTTTGTTTAGTCCAAACAATTATCACAGCATAGGTTTTGTGGTTGCGAAATATTCTTTCATGGGAATGTTTGTTTTAATTTGCCATTGTGGTTTAGATACTTTGACAGTTCTAACCTCAAATTGATGGGTTTTTGGAAGGGATTTTTGCGTAAAAACGATTCGATTTGGTTGGCATTATATGGGAGGGATTGATTGGTATTTTTGACAAAAAGATTTTTTGATCTTCAATAAGAATAGGTTATTGATCTTCTAGGTGAAGAGTACTTTGCCTACAACTTTAAAGGCGTGTACGGTATTTACTTTTGTATCAATTAAACATTTTTGTTTTTTTTTTTATTAAATGTGTTTGGCATTTGTATAAGTACTACCTTGTCTTCTGGAATCTCCTATAAACTGATTATTTTATCGATTTTTTATTTAATTTTAAATGAGAGGTCTAAACAAAGGTTTAGAAGAGTTCAGAGTACTTTCTCATATTGAATTTCATGCTAGAATACCCAGTTTGAAGCATAAAAATCTCGCATTGAACACAAACATAGATAATACGTCTCCATTAACCAGCAAATCTTTTGTATTTTTGGTTTGAAAGATTTTTCGCATTATTAACTATGAATTAATAATATAAAAAATAAACTGTTTAACTGAAGTCTGACAAGCCCTCAGAACATCCCGTTTGTCTTAAATGAAAAACCTCGTTTGTTTCCTCTAAACTCAATTTGGTCGCCTAATTCATTTCCTCTTCTGTTCGATTTCTGTTTGATTTTATGTCAAACCTGCTCCTTTGTTAGCCTCGGCTCAGTAACTGGGAGGATTTTCAATGCCAATCCTACCTGAAATATTATCCAAGCACAACTTTTCTGTTTGTCCTCAGGATGAATTTACTTCAGTTTTTTCTTCAAGTTATGGTTTGGATAGTTGCATTTTAATGTAAAGATCTAATTATTTTCCCTGGTATTTTTGTTTTATATTTTTTTCTAATTTGTCCACTATTCCGAAATTCTATGTGCCATTTTAATCAAAAACGATCTTTCAGTCTCTAAAGTCTATAATTTTCCTCCAAAACTTCTACAAAATCATTTGAAATTTCAAAATATGTTAAATAACTTCTTGGTGCGCTTTATGAACGTCTAGATGGATTCTAAAACTTCTACTTGGCTGGTTTCTTATTAAAAGTATTGAAATTTGGAATAACACTTATAAGACCCAATGTTGCTTTACATTGGACGTATTTGGTCTTCTGAAGAATTGGGGATTGTGACATCTGCCTATTTTCTCCCCTTGTTAACAGTTGCTGGTTTCTCAATGACACTGACACTTAATTTGACCTCATGTCCTGAGAAAATGTATGCCCTACAAGACAATCTATATGTGTTATTATGGTGCGCACCTATGTGAAGGTCTAAAAATATTGAAAAAACAAACTGCAATACCTATTTGATTTATTGAGCCGTCATACTCATAAATAAGTAATTTGTGCAATACTCCAAACAAAAAGCAGTCGCGGAGGGACAAATCAAATTTACATCATCAATTGGTGTGATGCCTTTAATTAAATTTGAAAAAATTGCTCATGGATAACAATTATTCAATTAGACAGGATATTTGCTAGAAGGCGGAATTCTTTAGTCGCACTTGTGCGGATCCAGCTAGCTTTTCGAACAAATACAGTATTTCACTGATAACTGCAAAGACTTTTATCTTGACATAGTCAAAAATTACACTGCTAGATTTGAATATTATTTGTAACAATCAAACTTGATTTAAGTTTATCTGTCATAATGCATTGTCTCGCATTTTAGGCAATAAAATTAGAAATATTAAAAGAAACTCACGGGCATATTAGATCTATGACCACCACAATCTACCTGATCGATTGCATGGCGGCTCTATAAGGCAAACTGTGTCAATTTGTTTGAATTCTTCCAAGTCCAATTCATTTTAAATTTTGAGCAGTTGTAGCTCATAACTAGAAGAAAGTATTAGGGTCTGGAATATTGTGTCTATTTGGAATCATGTTCGTAAGCCTAAAAAAAAAACTAACTTGGCTTGAAAATCCGAAAGCCTAAATAAAACTAACTTGGGTTGAAAATCAAGGGTTTTTATGCTGCAATGATCGCAAAAACCTAAATTGGAGCAGCAACAGGAATACCGGTATAAAAAGAAAAGATTTGGGAGCACTAACATTTCAATCACAAATTCAGAATTTTAGTACAGGAATACAGTATGCACGCTTTGTTCAATTTTATAATAAAACATGCAAAAACGATGTTTATTCACTTGAGCCGAATGGGTTAAAATTAAAATACCTAAGATCTGAAAAATCCGTTACATAGGGATATTTGATATGAGAAGAGATAAGGTGATGATACATAAGCTAAGCATGACACCATGGCACGGCATATTACTGTCCATTTATAAAAGAAAACGACATCAGCATTCATGTGCGGCTCTAACATCCTTTTACGATATGTTACAAAATATACCAAGCCATGATGCCAAGCTGCTTATGTATTATCACCTTTGGTTTAACCACAAAGAGTTCAAAATATCAGATTACAAAGTAAAAATGCCGAAAAAGTAGAAGGTACCGTATTTCAGGAGCTATGTCCAAGACTTTGGACCTCCACTAAAAACTTTAGCAAGGAGAATCCAGAATACCAAATTACATTTTATTTAGTTGAAAACTATGACCAAAACTTTCAAAGTCCGAAAATCTTTGTTACATAATATGGGCCGATATATTCCATTTCCAATTCCAAACATTCTAGGTATGATATCAATTCCTGTAGAAAATTACAGACTAAAAGCGCTAAATCAACATTGATGATTTTACCCCGATCATGAGTCTCCAAAGTATATTTCGATGTCAAAGGGAATGTCAACTTTACTACACCCCTCTGGTTGAGAAAAAAAAAATGCAAAGCATTAGCTTTCAGCAAAATGCCGCTAGTTATTTGACCTTCTCAGCGGTCATGGTTTGATGAATTAAGCTTATAACTAAAACTGTAAATAAAAGTTTTACAGTCTCTTACTCAAAGAAGTGTTCTTGAATATATTTGAGACTTGTTCATGCCAAAGAAACATATTAGCTACATTAACTTAATATTCTATGGAGTCGGGGAAACCAGAAAGTTCATTCAATTCTACTAAGCCAACTTCATTCATTTCCACAATTATATTACCCCAAAATACCTATGAATTTTAATCAATTTCGCCAATGTAAAAATGACGCTGTATTAATTGTAAACGGGGAAATCAAATCCAAACCCCAGTTTCGTGTTAAGCATTCTATTATCGATTTATAGCAAAATTAATTTTTGTTGTACAGATAGATCGTAGTCGTTATTAAATGCATTCAATGTTTACTAAAAAAAGTGTGTGGTGAAAGATGGTGTTGCTGATGATGACGGTTGATAATGCAAAGAGGGTGGGGGAGACACATCGGCAGATAATCGCGGCGCAACACACAAAAATTAAAGACGTCAATTATCTCTTAGAAACAGTGTGGAATTGAAAACACACGCGTTACTTATCTACCACAATTCAAAAGAAAGAACACAAACTCTTTGGTTGTTCGTCTTTAAAGGGAATTAATGATAAGAAAGGAGAGCATCACACCCCTTGTCATTGAACCTGTAAAATCATGAAGTACAGAATAAAAACAAAAGAAATGACAAAATTAAATTTGTAACAACAATAAAAAGTGACCACCACCACTTTCATTTTTTGCATATTGCCTTTTCCAAGCATCCCCCACGCACACTCATAACAACATATGAATGAAAACGAGAGAGACGCGGGGTTAACATTTTGCAAGACGTTGTTGAAGGGTCGTCTTTGTCATATCATGAATTTGAATTTGTAAACAATTTAAGTATTTTCCGATTTGGTGGGGAAACAAAACAGAATTGTTTTCTCATTTCTTGAGTCGCGTGGATGCCATTAAACGGGCATCGTTTCATCTCAGGTGTTTGCCATGGGCCATGGCTCTTTCAAATTTTGTCATGTCTCTGTTCCTTCTCTCTCTCTCACTCTCTGCCGCTTGATTGTGCTCTGCAAAAAACAATGTTTCAATTTCGCCGTTTTGCCAACCCAATAACAACCACTTTTGCATGTTGCTCCTCTATCTCCCTTCACCGCGCGAACCATCTCTTCACCATTGTCCGCCTTCGTCATATTCTTCTTGCCAAACGGTCGCTCGATAAAGATTACATCATATAGCTTCTCCCCTTTTGTAGTTTGAAAAATATTGCTGAAAAATTCCTTATTTTAACACATTTTCTTGTGATTTTTCTCATTTCATTGGCAAAAATAAATCATTCATACACATTTTTTGCAAAACATTTGTTTGTATAAACTTGCATTTTTTCACCCAAATACTTGGGAATTGAAAAAAGTTTCATTTGTTGGTGGTTCAATAAAAAGTTTTTTTTTTTTTTTCGTTTTTCACGCGTTCACACCAAGACAACACAACTCGCAATATGGCGGCCAGGCTGTTATATGAACGCTTGCTGAAATGCGACTAGTTTCATCTTTGTTTCGCACTTTCGGTTTATAGTCTGCATATGCAGAAATGAGCGAGCAACAAGGTGTTTTTTCGGTTTTGTTGTTGTCGTTTCTTGTTGTCATTCCAATGCCGCATTGTTCCTCCATGTCGTGTTTCAGTTGAGCGATGTGCCAGCGAAACATGTTTCATTGTGTTGCAGCGTTTCAATGACATTTAATAGCGTTTCCTTTTCACCATGTACCTTTTTTTTCTGTCATACGGCAGCAGCAACACATTCGAAATGCAAGTAAATGTATGATCCTGTACTTTGACGTCCTGAATTCAGATTTTGCCCCAACACTTATCCTCATTCCACACACAACTTTTAATTAAAAATTTGATCCTGAAGAGAGCATTTTTTCTGGACGAGGACATATACAACTTTCTTAATAATATTAGTATTCCTTTATAGGTTTCTTTTTTTTCCATACATAATTCGGTTGCATATAATCGGATTTTATTGCCACTTGGGTCGCCACTTTGGTATTTACCAATTAAAAATTAACAAAATAATTTTTTTTTTAAATATTTCATAATAGGGCTGCCTGGCCACTTTTAATGCAGAATTTGTCAAGCAACTTCTTGTAGAGTGGGCAATTGTTATTTTTTTTCTCTTTCGGAAGAAACGGTAAAAAGTAAACACAAAGATTCCCTGCATATCTTGCAAGCAATCAGCTGATTTCTAAAAACAAAAAAAAAAAAACAGTATTTTTGTGTTAACCGACATGGAACTAGGATAACCTGTCAATCCTAACTTATACCTTCTGTGGGAATTTTGACAGAATGGCCAAGCCTGTAGTTGGCTAATTTGGACATTTAGGGTCCGCTATTTTCTTAATCGATTGATGGCTTCGGCTTTGTGTGTTAGAACCAAATGTTGCCAATACCGCCCTCTCTAATTTTTGTAATCAAAAATTAGTTCAGCATGGCCAGATAAGGTAACTGCTACTCCTTGCTCATTTTCGAGGAAAATGTCCCAATTATGCCGTACCAAAACTTGTCTCCTTTTGGGTGCATACTATTTTCAGTTTATGTATTTTCTACGTTCTAAATGCCACAATTTTGCTTATTTACCTATGAAGATCTTCCACAACGTTATGCAACATTACATCGATTTTCAGAGCAATGCCGCAACTAAAACTAATTACCTTTTAAATCAGACATGACCTAAGTGTTACCACTCACGAAATAATCGTATAATTGGACACTTTTTATACTATGTTAGTCATATGAAGGTTTCTTAACTTATTTTTATTTATAATTTTTTTTTAATTATTTTTTTTTTAATATCCTCTTTTTCAGATTACAGATTTAATTTTGGACAACTGCCGGAGTACAAGTATTGTTGGACTTACAGATGAATACACGGCATTGGAATCATTAAGTTTAATTAATGTCGGCCTAACAACCTTAAAAGGTTTTCCAAAATTGCCCAATCTAAAGAAATTGGAATTATCGGACAACAGGTTATTATTTCACCCAAATTTTTCCCAATGAACAATTCATTTAAACGTTTGCCTTTTATTTACAGAATATCAAATGGCCTCAATTATTTGAGTACTAGCCCCAAATTGCAATATTTGAATTTGTCTGGTAACAAAATTAAAGATCTAGAAGCCTTAAAACCATTGCAGGAATTCAAACATTTAGCAGTTTTGGATCTATTCAACAATGAGGCAACACAAATTGAAAATTATCGTGAAAAAATCTTTGAAATGTTGCCTTCACTTGAATTTTTGGATGGGTAAGTTGAAATTGTATAAATATTTAATGAGAATACCAATTGAGTTAAGGATTATTGTATTTTTCTTTACAGTTTTGATCGCGATGATGTAGAAGCTCCTTCAGAAGGTGATGACGATGAGGAAAATGGAAATTATTCTGAAGACGATGGTGAGTTGTAATATTTGCACATCCTTAGATTTTCACAGAAAATATACGTGTTTATCGTTTGTGAATATAGATTTCCAAACTGTTTTAGAATTTTGTCAAATTTAAAATATCACCAAGACACATGATTTTGCCACAATATATCGTGATAGTCCAAAAATGGATCAATCTGCATAGAGACAAATGACCATTGGTTTCTGGATGAGCGAGAAACTTAAAAACGAATAATTTGAGAACAAATTTCTTAGTGGTCTAAGGGGATATGCTGTAAATTTTATATGATAAAGATTCAGTAGATTCCAATTGACCAAGTTTTTATGTAGAAAGGTTTTCTAAACATAGAAGAGCTTCCATAGGGCTTCTATACAAAAATGACAATCTACAGGGTGAGATAAAAAACTGCAACAAAGTCAAACGCCATAATTTTTATTTATTTTTTTTCAATTTCATTTAATGATGGCGAAAAAAGTCGGAAATAGCATCAAATTTTAGAATAAGTTTAGATTAGTTCAAATTGGTCACCTAGTACAAAAGGCCTACGGCCTTCAAACGGCTTATGAAACGGTCACACGCTGCCCGAATGTTGCTCTGCGGAGAGCGACCACCAGATGTTATGGCGGCCCACACCATCACCATGGCCGGCGCTTGAGTTCTGTTGGCCAACCGAAGGTGCACATTTTCAGCTGACCTCTTTGGCAAGTAAACACGATCATTTTGTTTGTTTACAAACTGTTGGACAACGAATGTTTTTTCATCGGAGAAAACCAAATTCGGCAGTTCACCACTTTCGGCCAAGCGAAGCAACTCTTTAGCTCTATTGGGTCTACTTTCTTTCTGTTGCGGTGTAAATTCTTGCACTTTTTAGAATTTCAATGGCTTTAGCCCGAACTCATTTTTCAATATTTGCCGAATGGAAAATTACGATATGTACCAGTACAAATGATTCATTCACATTTAAATGCTGGAGTGCTCTAACCATAGCCACTTTCGGTTTTCCACTCAAATATAAAGAAATCACACTATCACGCTTGAATTCCATCACGAATAACTTTTTCTGGAAAAATTCTCACAAAAATGCTTTTGTACGCTTGTTTAAAAAATAATGAGTGGCTTAGAAATGACAGCAGTTTGAAGTTGCTTGCAGTTTTTTTATCTTACCCTGTACAAATCTTCCAATTATCAAATTCCTTCAAAATGTGTTCCATGCACAATGTAATTTTACAGGACCTTAAAATTGTAATTGTTGTATAGGAAGGTTTAATATATTCAAAATTTGGCCGTGCTTTAGGTTCCTACAATTTAGAAATACAAAACATGAACAACCATTTACGTTTCACATTTGTTTATATTCTATCACATTCATTGTCATGTCTCTGTCTGTCATATCTAACCACATTCCATTCGTACTGTGCAACACCGACATATCGTACATTACCATCGCCACAAAACTCTACAATTTCAGATAAACAAAATGCATTTAATCTAAATGGATTAGAAATCGATTTGGATGAGTTAGAAGAATTTGAAAAACGCCTCAAGGCGAAACGTGAAGCTATGAAACCAAAACAAGAACAAAATACTACGACAAATGACAATAACAACTGCTCGACGACAAGCAATAAAACATTAGTGGGGACCAATGATTCTGATTCTGTCAATAAAGTGGCCGAGGAAGTCGATGAACTTGATGAGTATTTGAAAACATTGCAACTGAAAGAAAAGCAACAACAGGAGGAGAAACAAAAATTACAACAATCTTCTGACTCTACTTCTTCTTCTTCTACCAATATTCAGACATCATCTCCAATGAATTTTGCAATATTATTGTATTGGTTTTTAGCTATTTTAAATTTAGCCAGTGCTGCCTTTTGTAAGCATTATTCCAAAATGTCTTTAACAATTGAAAATTAATCGGTTACATGTTTTTTCTTTTGTTTTTTTTTTTTTAGATTCCGAAGCCGAATCAGGTGAAAATGATAAAGATGGCTCAGACGGCAGTGAGTTGAGTGTGAGTACAGAAGATGTCTCATTATCAGAGGTAGGTATCTTGGGATGAATAAACGACAAAGTTTTACATATTTCTTTTTATTTTTGTCATCCTAGGTCTACAATGATGATTTAGAAGAAGACGAAGGAGAATGGGACGAAGAGAACGCTGCTGAAAATGACGACGACGATGATGATGATGACATTAGCGATGAAGATGAAGCTAACGATTCAGCTGTTGCCGCAAACGCCGACAAAGCCGAAGATAATGCCGCCGATGGTGAGTAAAAGAAAAATATTCAAGTTTATGATCCTAATTAAATATCTCTCGTTTTGTTTTTCAGCTGAGGAAAGTCAGGCACGAGGCAAGAAAAGAAAGCATGAAGGTTAAACAAGACAACCAACCAACCACACACACAACAGTAGCAGCAAAGAAAATCATTATTATTATCATCTTTCCGCACTTCGGTTATCATCCCGTCGTTTCTTTTCATGTGTGTTTCTTTTTTAATTAATAATTATTAAATCGTTTTTATATTAATGGATAATACTTTTACACATTACATTGCAAAAAGAAAACAACAACAACAATAGAATATATTTGCAAATTATTTTTCGTAAAAGAGGGAAAAAAAGCTGAAACACCCCAATAACAAACAAACAAATCAAATTTAATAATTAAGTCGAAAGTAAGAAAGAACATGTATTACCAAACAGCAACAACAACAACAAAACACCAAACAACAACAATTATGGATGCAGACAAAGAAGAAAATTTTGAGAAATTAAGGATTTCATTTACATACAACAATAACAAGAACAATATAAATTAGTGGAAACAAAAACATCGTTGGTGAAAGCAAACAAACTAGTATACATAGCGCATAGAGATGATGATATTTACAACAATTTTACAAACAACACATTTTACTTTTTTTTGAAATCAAAAAAGAACCAACCATGGAAATAGCCAAAGCTATTTGAAATCGATTAAAAAGGAACAACAACACAACTAATTCTCTAAATCTCAGCAACAGATGAAAACCAAGAAATACAAAGAACCCAAATTTGGATAACAATAAAATAAATCAAGAATAATACTGTTCACAAAATACTTATCCTGTACGTCCGTCTCCTTTTATTTGTTGAACAATATTGCAAACTCTGCGACCAACTGCTTAATTTCCTCCACCCACTGTCCCCCCATAATGATATGTGCTTTGTGTTGCTGCAACTTTACACCTCTTTCATAGAGACGCTTACTCGTCTATTTTAAGATCCCCAAGAAACCAATTAAAAAATGTAGATACAAATTTTTAAAGCTGAAATTGTTGTGTTTTTACTTTGCCACTATCAAATCAATACCATCACCACAGCCACAATATAATGCTCTCCAAAATAAACAAACACACACACACATATTTCTTTTCCCTTCCCCTCCATTTCCATACAATTTTGAGTATATTTCCTTAGGATATTATATAAGTATAAATCAAAAAAAAAACAAAAAGTTTATTGTTCATGTATATGATTTTATTGAATGAAGAACTTTATATATAAAAATTAATAACAAAACTTTACAAAAACAAAAAAACAACAATGTTTAGTTATTATTTCATGTTCATGTGACGACCAGAAGTTGGCTTGGCAAACAGTTATAAAATATTTTAAAAACGGCATTAAGTTCGACCGGCTTAAATTTTTTTGTATTCTCTCTATGGTGAGATGAAAAAAACTTCTACCAACTTCAGACTGCTGTCATTTCAAAGCCACTCGTCCGACAGCTGTTAAAATTATTCCAGTGACATTGATTTTACAAGCGTACAAAATCATTTTGGTGAGAATTTTCAAAAAAAAAAAAAACGTTATTCGTGATGGAACTCAAACGTGATAGTGTGATTTCATTATATTTGGCTGGAAAACCACAAGTGGCTATCGTTAGAGCACTCCAGCATTAAAACTGGAATAAATCTTTTGCGTCTCCTACCATCGCTCGTTACCGTTATACTGGCATCAACAGAAATGGTTCGAAAAGTAAAGAAGCGACTAGATCGAAACCCGCGTCGCAGTGGGCTCAACATATCGCAATATTCCATTCGGCAAATATTGAAAAATGAGTTTGGGCTAAAGCCATTGAAATTCCAAAAAGTGCAAGAACTTGCACCGTAGCAGAAAGAAAATAGACTCAATAGAGCTAAAGAGTTGCTTCGCTTGGCCGAAGGTGGTGAACGGCCGAATTTGGTTTTCTCCGATGAGAAAACATTCGTTGACCAGCAGTTTGTGAACAAACAAAATGATCGTGTTTACTTGCCAAAAAGGTCAGCTGAAAATGTGCACTTTCGGTAGGCCACCAAAACTCAAGCGCCGGCCATGGTGATGCTGTGGGCCGCCATAAAAGCCGATGGTCGCTCTACGCTCGTATTAAGTGACCGTGGCATCAGAATAAATGCCGAAAATTATCGCGAAAATATTCTGGAGGGTGTATTAAAACCTTGGGCACGCAAACATTTTGGCCGCAGGCCTTGGACATTCTAACAGGACTCAGGATCATCGCACTCAGCACGCGCCATCCAAGAATGTTTAAAAAAATAAGGTCCCTCGCTTCATTTCCAGCGCACATGACCACCAAAATCTCCGGATACCAATCCGTTGGACTATTGTGACTGGAGTATTTTGGAAAGCAAGGTTGGCACTAAAAAATACCAAAGTGTCTATCACCTCAAGCAAGCGTTTCGCCGGGAATGGGCCAAAACACCGCAGAGCAACATTCGGGCAGCCTGTGACGGTTTAATTGGCCGTTTGAAGGCAATAATTCCTGCCAATCCGAACAAATCTAAAATTATTCTAAAATTTGATGCTATTTTCGACATTTTTTGCTTTCATTCAATAAAACTTAAAAAATGTAAAAATTATGGCGTTTGACTTTTTTTAATCTCACCCTGCACATATATTACATCTTTCCTGGAGGCGGTTTTATGGGGGGACACTTTCAACATACCGACAATCGGAACGTACCCTTTTTGAATTAAACTTCCCACTGGGAATCCGAAATGTCGAATTGGGGCCGGTGCCTTTAAAATTTCGAACCAAAATCCTAAAAATCAGAGGGTTACACCTAAAAATAGACCTAGATTGAATATGTTTGCGGGAGGTAAATTAATCTAACCCCAGATACCACAAAATATTATTCATACAACTGATTTGTTTTAAAACTGGGACAACATTTTCAAACTAACAAAAGGTAGGTGGTACCGTTGAAAGGAAACATTGCCAAGCAGTGGACCTTCGTTTCTTAAAAACACGAGATGACGAGATCATCTATATACATCTGATATGGTTAGGCATATTTGGAAATCAAACCTCCAAAATAATGATAATCATGGGGGCTACGACAAAAAGTGGATTGAATATTTCTGTAAGTAGTAAATTTAACTACATATGGGGTTTTTGGAACGAAAATACCCAAAAAGGGTGCCTTCATTGAATATTTTTTGAAAACCGGAAATACCAAATAGTGCTGTATCGTTGTAAATTCTCGGGACCCAAAACTCCAAAATAGCATCAAGAGGTACCTAGGAATAATATAAGAGCGGAAAGCGACCAAATAATGATTTATAAATCGAAGATCGAATAACAATTGACGACCACAAGCAAAAAGACAAAGACAAGATGGGTTGGATAGAACCTCCTTGACATATGCTTATTAATAGACTCTCTTTTTAAGCGTTGGAACGCGTCCTCTAGATTGTGGAGTGTTCTTGACACCATATACCTATTATGGTTTGGATGACTCCCACAGTAAAAAGCTTGCTGACATTGGACAAGATCCTTCATTGGGGTTTTCACCTATCGCCTTATGCTAGATCTTTTATTTAGTCCCCCAGTGGTTTCGTCTAGTGACTTCTTTTGAATTAACCGCAGTTATAGCGAATGAGAACGCTATGATTATGCGGTTTTGGAAGAAATGTCGCTCGTAAGGTACATTCCATTGTAAAAGAATACAGGTAGACGCATCGACACAGTTGCTGCGACAATGAACTGCCCAACAAATTTTACAATTGAAATTTTTAAATGAAAAATTATTCAAATTTGTAAAAATTGTTAAAAAAAAAACGCATATAATAACTTCCAATTGACGTTGTATAAAAAAAACATATAAAAATCAACTTATATTAAAAAAAAAAACATTTTTGACATATCAATGTTCCTAAGCGTTGATGCATCTACATATATTCTTCTATCATGGGTACATTCAATGAACGTGTTGCATGACATCGCTTTCATCCATACTGACCGGCTTAACAGAGACATGTTGTAACCATGTGCTGTTGAGGCCCATACTCATTTACAAATCTTTAGAATACTACCGGTATCCTAACACCTATTCGAGAATTTTCACCGTATGCTTCCAATTGCTATCCAAGAAAATACATTATAATAATTATTTCTTACAAGCTGTTAAAAATATTGAGTATTTTTCGATACCAATTATTTTGAAACACCTTTTTCAGGTCTGTTCTTCATGATCTTGTAATCTATAAATTTCCAACTTTCTCACATTAATTCCGTTCGATTCCAAAACAAGGAATTTTCAAAAACACATAACTTGTTGGTCTGTTGTAATGTAAAACTTGAATGATTCTTTTTTTTTATTCAAAACACATTTTAGAATTGGCAAAACCCAAAAACATAAATACAATATGCATTCGATTGGGTCTGCTGATGCACATTTACAAGATATCTTCTATAAACTTCTCTTCCATATGAGAGGAGATGACGCAGGTGGATGATGTTGATGGTTTTAACACCCAAAGACAATAAATGAAAAGAGAACATTTACTTCAATGGAATGAATCTGGAGCTGTGGGTGGCACCAATACCGGGACGACCGTGCTTAACGGGTTTGTAGGTCAATACGAATTCACCCAAGTAATGACCAATCATTTCAGGCTTGACTTCGACTTGACCGAAATCTTTGCCGTTGTAGACACCAATGATGGAGCCGGTCATTTCGGGAACAACAATCATGTTTCTCAAGTGGGTCTTGACAATTTCGGGCTTCTCATTTGGGGGAGCTTCCTTCTTGGCTTTGCGCAATTTCTTGATCAAGGCCATTGGTTTGCGTTTCAAGCCACGGGAGAAACGTCTGCGGGCACGGCTGTGCATCAATTCAACCAATTGGTTGCTGCAAGGAAAATTGAAAATAAACATTAGCATGTCATCCTATTCGTAAGAAAATTCACAAATCTTACTTGGGCATATCCAACAATTGGTCCAAATCGACACCGCGGTAGGTGTATTTTTTGAAGGTACGCTTCTTCTTAAGAGTTTCTTCAACCTGGAAAAAAAACAATATACGAACAATCGATTAGTCTTTGTAACAAAAACTTTACATATTTCATAAACTTTAGAGTTTCACACAAAAATTCCATTTACATCTTATGTGCAATTGATTTTGCCATCGAATTAATGCAAATTTTATCACATTTAATTTAGGATGCATAATATTTTTGCAGATTTTTCACTAAAAAATTACCTCAGCCATCTTGACGTTTCAGTTTACAGAACGGAAAGAAAAACAAAAGGGTTCGTTGTTGCCAGCCACAAATTTTTTCGTTTTTCTATGTTGTCAGCACTGTGACAGAGAGTTGCCATGCCATATTTATTGAAATCATTGCCATGGTAACAAAACCTATAAAACTATTGCCAGCTTCACCCGTGTCATAATCGTAATGGATTGAAACCACATATCATTGATTTTTCCCTGTTCCGGACCACAACATAGAAATTTCATAAATCAATAACTGAAAATTATTGACAAACTATATGTTTTGGGAAAGTGCGAGAGTTCCTGCCTATATACATATCATATGTATCTTACTTTGACAATTTCGCCAAATTTATTTTATGAAATTGCTTACGTGTGGAATCTGATTGAGCAATAAAAATATCAATTTAAGAGATATTCATGGTAGAACTAAAAAGGTAAAACTATGTAATATGTCCTTGCATGAATATATTGTATATTCACAGATGAGAACCTGTTTTCTATGCAGCTAAATTTGACAAGGTAAATTACAGAAAATGCAGAGGGAATGCTGATTTGTGATGAGGTTACCTTTATTTCATCGTACCATGGGAATATTTGTGTCATACTCGTGGTTATTTAAAGAGTGGTACTGTTATATTGCAAATTACAGTCATTAAAAATAAACCTTCAAAACAACGAAGAACGGGGGGACCTGTTATAAGGGGGGCATACTACATTTTTATTGCTAAATTATATTTCTTATTAATATAATCTGGTCCAGATACTGGGAAAAAAATTCTTAATTCATTATCATTTAAGGTTAGAATACATACAACGCTTCTATGGCTGGCTTAAGTCATCGGTTGGCTTTTTCGTAGGGGAACAAAGGAGTCCTAGGTAAACTTAGTTCGATTTTGGCCCTACACTCCTTTGTTCTTTTCCAAAGAACCCAGCCGGTGACTTAAGCCAGTCAAAAAAAGCTCTTCATGTGCTTGCATCTCAACTGAACTATTTGTTAAAAACAATAAAAAGGTAGAACAGCTTCGAAGAACTACCGAAATACGAACCTGAGGCTATTACAAGTTGTTTTTAAAATGAGTAACATTAAATTTTCTTTCAAACATTTGATCCAAATTGTTCAATAATTCAATACCATGGCGAAACTGGTTAATATTCCTTGTGGACGACAAGTCATTTACATTTTATCTAATCATTGATTTTGAAAATAAATATTTATTTTTCAAAGCAATAATCACATACGCAATATTGACAGAAAAAAATGTTTCGCATATCGATGTTCCCAAACGAACGATTGCTCACATGGTAGAAGAATACAAGTAAATTCCTCCATGGTGCAATAAAGAGGTAGAACAGCTTCGTAAAACTGCATAAATACAGCCCGCTTCCTGTCAGACTCATTCAAAATTATATACAACAAGTTCTTTTCTTTTTTTCATATTTTTCCTCATTTTTAAAATGAGTTAAATAGCGCGAAAAATGAATGAAATGCTTGGACTTTTTCTCAAAAATATGATCTAAACTGTTCAATCTTTCAATTTCATGGCTAAACTATTTAACAGCATTAATGCGCCAGCCGCAACGTACCTGTCTTCCAATCATTGGTTTGAAAATATTTTGGTTTTGGGAACAAATTGTGATCAGCTGTTAGCTCTAACTTACCTTTTTATTGTACCATGGATTCATCAATGCTTGTAAACATTGATATGTTAAAATATTAAAATGTTTTTTTTTTCAAAAATTATTAAATATTTATCTGTTTTCTTATTCGGTGCCAATCGGGGGTTGTAATGATGTCCTGCATCAATATATTTTAACGAGCATGTTTACCCAGTTTAGAACCAAAATAAAAATAAATGATTGAAAATACGAATTAAAGCCTCAGTTCAAGCTGTGGCTAGGCACCACTATTTTCATCAAAGAATCGAGTTACCAACTTTCAATAATAGGCAAAGAAACAAAAAACAGCTGTTGCCACTTATGGTTGCCATCGTCTCGTCTTTCAAATATCATTTCTCCTTCGTAGGCATCACCACGCACGCAAAGAAACACCACAAAATTTGTGTTTGCTGACGTTTATTGTTTATTTATTGTTTTCATTTAAAATAGCTGTTTGCAAGATTATTTGTTGTAATGAAATTAATGGAAATCAACGGATAATCGAAAATACATAATGCTGGTTTACAGTTGTCTTCCTTTTGCTGTTTTCAATGTGATCCTTCTTCGTGTTTGACAAGTGAACGACAGGAATAAAAAAATTGTTAATTAACCAAATGTTTTTGAGAAAAGAAAAGTGAGTGCTACCGTTTTCTTAATTAATTTCTGCTAATGTGTGGGTGTTGACTTTTCTTTTTTGTTTTGTATTTAGTAGCTGCCGAGAACCCAAGTGAAAGAAAGAGAAAAGTGAAAGTTTTGCATATTTATGTTTCCACCCATTGAAGGTCTCTCCGCTAGTTCAATGTGAAGTTCATTGGGTCATTGAATATTTTCAAACGCTGCTAAACAAGGGCTTTTAACACCTTTTGTCTTGCTATTTTTAACGACCGGCTTGTCATCCTTGAAACCTATTGGAGAAAAAATGTTGGCCAATTCCGGTTATGTTATGACGCTAGCCAATAGCATTATTGGTGTGGGTATTCTGGCTATGCCGTTTTGTTTTCAAAAGGTATGTATGTTGAGAAACTATTTTGTTTGTTTATCTAACATAAAAATTACATTAATTGATTTTTTTGTTTGCAATATGCTGACGACAATACCTCCTCCCCTCCCTAATGATTGCAAATTTGAAAAATACCGTTATTATTATCTGTTGTTTTCGACAACCATCATATGAAATGTGTTTTGCATGTTCGAGAAAACCTGATAAGGTGTATTACTCATTCATAAATATTCCTAATTTGAGCTCCGAAGGTGATATAAAAATGATTAACGATTGTCAAAGATAACTGATAATCAAAGTCTATTAAATCACGGAAGATCAATATTTACGGGGTTTGCCGGAATTTCGTTAAACGCATTTGATATTTGAATGCGGGGGCTGCCCATCAAATGAGGCAGTAAAACGTATAATCACCTTTGCAAATTTAGTTACTAGGGCTTCGTGGCATTCTTTGATGCTTCTCTTTGGGATGTCAAGAAGGATGATCAATTCAGTTCGTGGAATATTTTTAATGACACCTGCTTTCAAAATAGATTTAGGACTTTCAACGTCTATCCAATTTATGCCAGTAAGGCTTTTAATATAATTTTTGACACCAAATTAATTTAATAAACGCACTGTACTCTTAGTTGCCAGGATTGAGCGGGATATGTTGAGCATTTTCCTGTGTTTGAGAATAAAACATGCAAAGGTCGTTGAAAGAAACGCCTTAAATAACACCATTGACAACATTGGAAATAAAATATCAAGGTGTTGTGGCTGGAATGGGTTATATAGTAGATCTTCTATAATAGATCACCTTTTTTTTCCCGTCTTACGTTGTAGATATCAAAAGTGTGGCTTATCGATTCATAGTCTTTGGGAAGTGAGCAATCATAGTTCCGAAGGAATGGAAGGGCTTTAAAGAATCCGTAGCCCATACATGTTTGACTTTTTCTATATAATTTATGTACTCTCCAAAACGATTCTGTGATTGTGAATTGTATTGTTGATCTGTCACTGCATTTGTCGGGGAAGAGTAAATCTGCAGGTCTACGTGAAAATGTCTCCTTTCTTTGTAAAGATATGTACATTTAAAATAAGGATTTTAAGTTGTTTCAGGCTTCTAAAAAGCCAACATTCTTTCCGTGATCCTGTAACAGTTATTTGTTGGTATTTGAAGTTTAATGAGTTGCCATTTTAGAAATCCATTAATTTTTAAGTACTCATTTTTTTACTTACGAAATTCACATGAATATGCAAATAATAACACTTATTTTGTTGTTTTTGTATTTCTTTACAGTGCGGTATAATTTTATCAATAGTTTTGCTTGTGGCCAGCAACTGGGTAACACGAATCTGTTGCCATTATCTTATAAAAACGTCATTACTAACACGAAGAAAAAGTTTCGAGCTCTTAGGTAAGATCTAACATTTCATAACAAAGGCAAAGATACAATACAAGGCAGCCACAAGATTGCATTATTGATGTCTGGGTTTTTTGTTTTATCATTTGTAGGTTTTCATGCGTTTGGTACATCTGGCAAATTGTTGGTGGAACTATGTATCATTGGTTATCTATTGGGTACGTGCATTACATATTTTGTGGTAGTAGGTGATTTGGGGCCACAGATTGTTAAGAAAATGTTGTCATTGGAACATGACTATCATCATTTGCGCACTCTGCTAATGTGCGGTGTTACCCTGGTGTGTATCATACCATTGGGTATGCTGAAAAATGTCAGCAGTTTGTCAACCGTGTGCACAGCATCGATTGGTTTCTATGTCTGTTTGGTTATCAAAATCATTTTGGAATCAGAGACTCACATTAAGGCTAATGATTGGACCGACAAGGTTGTGTATTGGCAACCCAGTGGGGTCTTGCAATGTCTACCCATTTTCAGTATGGCTTTATCGTGTCAGATGTAAGTAGTTTGGAGAAATTTTGAAACATTTGGAATTAAATAATAATACGTTTCCTTATGCAGGCAACTTTTCGAAGTATTCACCACCATTAATAATCAAAGTTTGGAAAAACTAAATAGTATTGTTCGCAATGCCACATGGATATGCACCTTTGTCTACATAGCTGTGGGATTCTTTGGCTATGTTGCCTTTTGCACCCAAAAGTTTTCGGGTGAGTTGTATTTTTTTTAATTGTATCAATCGTTTTATGGACGACATTTTTTTATTTCCAGGCAACATCTTAATGAACTTATCACCTTCCTTTGGCAGTGATGTTATCAAAATTGGTTTTGTTTTGTCAGTGGCCTTCAGTTTCCCCTTGGTTATATTTCCCTGTCGAGCTAGTCTGTACTCTCTATTGTATAAAAAGGTGAGGAAAATTGAAAGATTATCTCTGCAAAAGGCTTTTCTATACATTTAAGAGGCTCAGAAAATATTGAATACTGATTTTCTTAAGGAGGACGTTAACTGTAAATGGGAGACATATAGAAGTTTTTTAAAGGCAGAATATTTACTAAGGTATTATAGTCAAGATACCCTTTATGCTTTAAATATCTTTAGTAGGTTAGTAGAAGACGTCCAGGAGATCTCCGGAAAATTAAGTACCTTTGCATAAAATTCTTCCCTACATAACATACCTGAAGGAATTAAAATACTTATTGAACACTTCATAGAATTCTCAAAGTATAAGTATAGAAAGTCTAATGGATGTGAACGGTAGTAAAAAATCAATATAACAAAGAGACGTTTTGAAACAAATTAAGATCAAAATGTATACAAAGAATAGGAAGTCTATTTAGAAAGATGACCTTTAGGAGACTTTCTATTCTTTCTATACCTTTCTATGCCATGATACCTTAAATATATATTTTATATATAGTTCACATTTAGAGATATCCGAGACATTAATACTTTTCGGATGTTCCAGAAGTTGTTGTTCATTTTGTTTAACAAAGAAAGTGGTCTTATCTAGATAGTATCTAGATATCTATCTCATGCGCAGATCGAGAGACCTCTCTACATAAAAGACCACCTAGAATTTGTTCTTTATACAACGAAACTATGAAATTATTTACTTTATTCGTTTCAATTTTCACTTTCAGGGACAAATGGATGTCTCGGCGTATATACCGGAAACCCGCTTCAAAGCCATCACTCTCTTTATAGTGATATTCTCCCTGGGCGTAGCTTTAACAATACCATCCGTGGAATTAATTATTGGCTTGGTTGGCTCGACAATAGGTGTTGCTATTTGTGTAATGTTTCCAGCAGCTTGTTTCAGATCCATCATACGCAAGAATAGTATGGAACGTAGCCTGGCTCAGTTAATTATCATTGGTGGTTTTTGTCTTATGATTTTGGGTACATATGCCAATCTGTCTGCAATTGATGAGAAGAGTTCTGGGGCTCATTTAGATGTGCCCAAAATTGATGAAAAAATATTAAAGCCCTCGGAGGGCCCACATGATTTCTTGGATGAAAAAATTAAAAATATTGAAAAAGCAATGGAAGAGAAATATGCCAAAGTGGAGGAGGCAAGTAAAAATCAAGAATTGAAAAAGAATCTGGAACAGCCTCTGCTTAAGGCGAATAATACACAAATAACAGCAAAATTGCAAAAACCATCGCCGCCACCACCATTGCCTGTTGATGAAATACACCCACAACATGAGGAGGTGAATGCAAAAGAAAAGAAATCTGAGGAAATCAAACCGCCCTTAGTGTTGGAGAATAAGAAGGAAGGTAATGAGCCACCGGCAGCTAAGGAAGAAATAAAAATCGTGGAAAAAGAAGTCAATTTAAAACTCAATTTCGAAAATAAAATTGCGGAAACTAAACCCGAAATTGCAAAGAAATCAGAAGATGGAAAAACAACGGCCAGCGCTGCTGCCCTGCCCCAACAAACTATTGATCACGATGCCATACGTAAAGATGAAGAAATAGCTAAAGAAGAAATGAAAATTGAAAAGAAACAGGAAAATGAGGAACTTAAGAAAACCAAGGAAGAACTAGAGAAGACGAAAGATTTACTCGAAAAGAAGGTGGAAGAACTCAAGGAAGAGCTTGTGAAGCAAAATCAGGAAACTCAAAATTTAGTTGTAGAAAAACTAGGTGAAGTTGTAGAAAAATTCGAAGAAATTGAACGTAAAGTACAAAATCAAAAAGTGGATGATTCGCCCAATCAAGTTGCCAAAGAAGAAAAGCAGGAGAATAAACCTCAAGAAGACTTGAACCACGCAAATAATACCGATAGTCAAATAAAACCCAGTAAAGGATCACTGATTTCCATATTGACTGAAAATAGAAATTTAAGTAACGATCATCTCAACAATACAAAACAAGAATCTGCTGTCTATGAACCCTTGTCATATAAAACAGGTGAATTAATTGAGCATGCCCGTAATGGTAGCAATTTGGAGAAACGTTTACCTCTACCATTAGCTCTGCTAATCAATGCATCACAGGCGAAAATAAATGATACTAATGTAAATATTAAACTGCTAAATCAAACTTTAAGTTTGTCCAATAAAACCATGGAAACGGATAAAATCAATATCGATTCAATTAGAAGAGAAATTTTACAATTACATGAAACCGCCGACATCACAAATCCCACCAAACAAACTTTACCATTAGACAATAAAGAAAATACACATCGCATCAAAAGATCTAATTTAATGACGCAGGACAATTGCCTGCCAGAACCAAATATTGGACAATTAATGGCAGCAGCATCTAGTTTAAGTAACGGCGGTGGCGATTTGGAAATGAAAATTGGCCGAGATTTAAAATCAATTAATACCGAGGATTAAGTAGATTTCTTTTGAAATTCGGTCTACATAAAAACAATTTCTTGGCATTTAGTAGATTAATTTTAATTCAATAGAGAAAAATCCTTACATTTTAGGAATCGAATGATATGAACACTAATTGTACCTTTTTTAGTATTGTTGTAAGATGTAATCTTAAGAGGACATACCACAACTTATGACGTTTATATTTATTTATTTGTAAATAAATAACTATTTGTATATTTAGAAACAATAATTAAAAAATTAAAATTAAATTCCAAGAGGAAATAATAAATTGTAATTGTAAATAGAGAAGTGGAAATGTATTTTAGATAATTTTGCTATTTTTTGGCGTATTGATTTCCTTAAACATTTCACAGGCATTTTAAAGCATTATAACCCGAAAGAAAGATACTGAGATTGTTCAGGAATTTTATTTCAGTAAGATGTGGAGGCTGGCTCTTATATAAAACAAAGATATCGAACCAAAAATACAGGCCCATCGTCTTTGTGTGAATCTGTACATGGTCCTTCGAGTCGAAATGGATGCGCTCAATAATGTTGGACATTTTTCAAACTCTGTAGAGTTTCGAGGAAAGTACAGGGTGAGATGAAAAAAAACTTCCACCAACTTCCGACTGCTGGACAGATGTTAAAATTATTGCAGTGACAGCTCATTATATTGTTTACAAACATACAAAAGCATTTTGGTGAGAATTTTCCACAAAAAAGTTATTCGTGATGGAATTCAAGCGTGATAGTGTGATTTTTTTATATTTGGCTGGAAAACGACAAGTGGCTATCGTTAGAGCACTCTAGCATTTAAATGTGAATAAATCTTTTGTGTCTCGTACCATCGCTCGTTACCGGAATACTGGTAGCGTAGCCCGACGTCAAAGAAGTGGACGGAAGAAAACAACAACATCAGCAGAAATGGTTCGAAAAGTAAAGAAGCGACTTGATCGAAACCTAAGTCGCAGCGGCCGAAAATAGCTCGTGAGCTGAACATATCGCAATATTCCATTCGGCAAATATTGAAAAATGACCTGGGGGTAAAGCCATTGAAATTCCAAAAAGTGTAAGAACTTACACTGTAACAGAAAGAAAATAGACTAAAAAGTTGGCTTCGCTTGGAAGAAAGTGGTGAACTGCCGAATGTGGTTTACTCCGATGAGAAAACATTCGTTTTCCAGCAGTTTGTAAACAAACAAAATGATCGTGTTTACTTGCCAAAGGGGTCAGCTGAAAATGTGCACCTTCGGTTGGCCACCAGAACTCAAGCGCCGGCCATGGTGATGGTGTAGGCTGCCATAACAGCCGATGTTCGCTCTCCTCTGGTATTAATCGACCGTGGCATCAGAATAAATGTCCAATATTATCGCGAAAATATTCTGGAGGGTGTATTAAAGCCTTGGGCACGGAATCATTTTGGCCGCAGACCTTGGACATTCCAACAGAACTCAACACCATCGCATTTAGCATGCTGCACCCAAGAATGTTTACAAAATGAGGTTTCTCGCTTCATTTCCAGCGCACGATGGTCCTCAAAATTTCCGGATACCAATCCGTTGGACTATTGTGTCTGGAGTATTTTGGAAAGTAAGGTTGGTACTAAAAAATACCAAATTGCCGATCACCTCAAGCCAGCGCTTCGCTGGGAATGGACCCAAATACCGCAGAGCAACATTCGGGCAGTGTGTGACGGTTTCATTGGCCTTTTGAAGACCATAATTCGTGCCAAAGGTGACAAATTCGAACAGATCTAAACTTATTCCAAAATTTGATGATATTTCCGACATTTTTTGCTTCATTCAATATAATTAAAAAAAATGTAAAATTTATGGCGTTTGACTTTGTTGCAGCTTTTTTTTATCACACCCTGTATTTAACAGGAATTCTCTTGTAGTAAAAAATAAAAAGTTTATATATTTTTATTTTATAAATTTTATTTTAAATTAAATCGTCTTAAATTAGTTAACAATTTGAACTACTTATAGGTTTTTATATTCGTTTTTTTACGAACGAAAAAGAGAGGAACGTTTAACAACCAACTACGTGAATACGTTAATAATTCGTATGATATTTCGTGATGTAAAAAGTTGTACTTAAAATTTCGATCATAAAGGATTTGAGTGCGAGACAGCTTATCAGAGGTATTCTAGGTTTGATATATATTCTTTAGAAACATTACAAAAATATAGATAAATCCCATGCATGATGGCAGTAGATTCACAATCAAAAATATTAGACATCGCCGCCCAAACTGTGAAGATCATGGAGGACCTGAAAGGACAGAGAGGAAAGCAAATTAAAACCAAATCAATATTAAGAGTATCATTAAAGAAATTTAGAATTGGTTTTCAAGTTCAAAAAATGTGCCAAATTTAACAACAAGAACCCTTGTCCGTAAAACCTTTTGCTACTAAAGACAATTTGGAACATGTGTGGATTCCCATTCAACATTCTCAACCAATTCTGAAACGTAGATTTCCCTTACCTCCATTACGGCAGCAATACTCCAGGCTTGTGTACGACATGAATCCCGGCAATAGGCGCCATTTTCATTTGTTAGTTCCGGCAAGCCACGCCAGTGGGAAGTTTGTATCTCTTGCAAGTGAGCCCTCAAAATTTTCCTTAAAAATCATAGGAAAATAATATTTTTTTTATTTTAATTTGGTGAATTGTTCTACTTACCATGTTTCGGCAATAGTTTCATTTAAATGACCACACTTTTTACCAAATATCAAACGTGCTCTCAGATAATAACCAATGGGCCATACCCACTCGGGACCCTGGTGATAATTGGCACCATGGGCCACTGTACAGTCGGAGGAATCATTAGAGTTGTCATAGTTGCCACGGTAGTTCCAGTCGCTTGAATCCAATGTTTTCATACCCAGAGGTCCCAATAAATGTTCTCTGGAAAATAAAAAAAATTGAATACATGAGGCGTGTGGAAATTTGAATAGAAAGTTTTTTAAAATCTTTTCAAATCGTGTATTTTTTAAATACCAATAGAATGAAAAATTTGTCAACAATTGTAGATCTAACCCAAAATTCGTTTTTACTCTTCCTCTTTTAATATTTTCTCAAGGACCTAAAACCAATTTTTGTAGGACATTGGTGTATGTTCTTCGAAAAGTCTCTTCAAGAAACTCAACCCAATAATTGTGATTTTTCTCAGGAACCCGTATCTAAATGGTGGTGGATTTTTTCAATATTTATTCAAGAACCCGTATTCAATTATCTTTGATTTTTAAAAATATTTTTTCTGGACCCGTAGCTAAATAATCACGGATTCTGAACCATATTAATCATGGATTTTAAAAAAAATATTTTTCAAGGATCCATTTCCAAATAAACGAATATGTTTCTAAGGACCTCATATTTTATTCTTAAGGTAGACTATTTTTTCGATTGGAGAAATTGTTAAAAGAACACTTTTTTAAGGAGTTTTTAGGGACCTCGTTTTACGGAATCTTACCTGGCCTTTTCTAAAGCAACCCAGGCATGTTGTGGATTAAATATTTCCGGTGCCACAACCATGGTTATGGGGAAATTACATCTCAGCTGATAGTCGGTCCAGCGCTGCGAGGCACCATAGCAATCCTTGTAGATGTTTTTCTTATTGGCCAAGGGTGCCTTTTCGGTTTCGGTCACAAAGAAGAATTTCTCAAAGTTCTCAGCAATGCGATTTGCCCACTCCTTCCAGGTCCATGTGGTGGTTTGACCTACAACAAAAACAAAGGAGATATATAATTTTTCTAAATCAATCAGAAACAAATCGCCCTACCATTGGGACCCTTACGGGTAACCGAATCATATTCAATGATGCCCTTCTCTGACAGGGATTGCATGAACCTCAACACAGCATACTGCAATCCGACCAATTCCACCGCTGAACCATCACGTGGAGTATTTGGCCGACCACGATTACCGGCCTTTTCCGATGAACCCATTTTATCCATCCATGTTCCGCAATTCCATTGATTGCCACCGAAAACAAAACCAGTTTCAGGATTAATGCCAATTTGATTATTAAAGCCATTGTCGGTCATATGGGCATCAATTTCGTAGCCAGCATTACGTTCACGATACTGCAGACCCTGGAAGTGGACCTTCAGAGCCTCATGCATAACATCGATCAGCACCTGATCGAATTTTCCAGCCGGATGTGGTTCCGAGTCATCATATGGGAAAATGCGTGACACCTTATCCTGTAGAATATCCTTGCCATGTGGCACATGATCGATGTATTGTTTAATGCTGTGCATCCACCACCAGACAGCATCACGGCAGTTGTATCTGGGTTTGGTACCATTATCCAACAGATTGGGAATCAAGCCATGGCGTAAACATTGGGCAAAGCCAAGTATGATGAAACGAGCCTCGGTGAAGCGACCAGTCAACAGGAGGAGACCACGAAGGGAAATAAAGGTATCACGACCCCAGCAACGCATGTAGCCGGTGGAGAAGTGGGGCAAGCCCGCGGATAGTGTTACACATTGCTGAGGCGGTTTTGGGGCAGCCAGTGATGGGCTGAGGGGTGGTAAATTGGCAGACTTACACACGGTCAAGAATTGCAATGTGGCCAAGGCCAAGGCCTGTGGGAAGTCATGGCCATCACGTACCGAGTCGGGCATTAATTGATAGACTCTCTTCACCAACACCTCATAGACCCCACTGACAATGGCATCAAAGTAGCAGGGAATCAAGTAGCGTGGTATCTTCTTCAGCGGGTCAAATGCAGACTTCAGCCACTTCGAGAGGCCCTTTGTTCCATCATGATGCTGCAAACGATCAGCAATGTAATCCATCATCCAATCACCATCACGCAAGTTGTTACACAATGGATGACCGAGATCATTTTTGGGCGAGATTTCCGTTAGCAGAGACACAAAACCTTGCAGGCCACAATACACCACCTGACCATAGTCGGGTATATCATAGGCAGCTCCTCCAAAGCCCAAATCACGCTCCTCTTGATCGCAAGAGAACAATGCCCGATTGAGATCGGTAAAATCAAGTTTGTCCACGACCTTTACAAGATCCTCATAATGGGAACCCTTTTTGTGATGCAAGGATTCGGTTATTGTTTGCAGATTAACGAAATTCTTGCCAATCTCCGGTTTCAATGAGGCGCGTATGGCCACCACTGAACCAGGACGTAAATTAATCAATTCCAATTGTGTTACGTTACCATCATAGGCGGGATGGGGTCGGAAAATTTGCGACTTCTCCAATGGAATATGTTCGCGCAACTTTAGCTGGAACTGTTGATAGCCATTCACAACCTTGGCATCCTTTTTAAAAGGCACTGGACGATCGAATGGTTTATCACCTTTCATATGTAACTCTGCCTCCAAAATAATCTCTTCCAAGTGTCCCTCAAATCGTAGCGGTCTCACGAAAGTGGGCCCAGCATTCGGGTGAGGATAACCGAATGAAGTGTGAGCCACCAGGATGACACTTTGATGGGTCTTCGGCGAATGACGGGTAATGGCTACAATATTTGGATCCATTTGATCGACAAAAACCTGATTGAAACCCTCTTCGGCCAATTGACCGTGTAGAATGTTTAGGGCCCGCTTGGCCGCCACAATGCCACTGGTGAAACTGACACCTTTCTCCCATTCCTGGTACGTACGTTCCTCGTCGACGACGTGGATCTGAAAAAAGCGAGGTTAAGCGTTAAAATCTATGTTGGAATTTTTTTTTAATTTTAAACCGGAAAATCATATATTTTAAAAATCATTTTCTTAAGGACCTCCAAACTAAAAATCGTTGATTTTCTTAAATAATTCTTCAAGGACTTAAAGTTAGGACCTTAAAATGTTTCTTCAAGGGCCTCGAAAAATTGTGAATTTCTAAAAAAAAAAATCATTTTTAATGACATCTAACCAAAAAAGGGTATTTTTAATCGATGAATTTTATTATATATTTCTTCAACGACCTCCAACCCAAAAATCATAGATCTTCCAAAAAAAATAATAAAATGTTTAAGGACATCTAGTCTAAAAGTCGTAAATTTTATAAAAATATTTTTTTTTCATGGTCCTCGGAACCAAAAAAATGAGTTTTTAAAATATTTCATCAAAGATATCTAACCCAACATTCATTTAAAAATTATTTCTTCAAGGACATGTAACTTAAAAATTTTGTTTTTTTTTTTTAATATTTCTTCAAGGACCTCTAGCCCAAAAGTAGTGGATTTTTTGAAATTATTTCCTCAAGGACGTCTATGGTATAAAACATGAAGTTTAAAAAAACATTTCTTTAAGAAATTCGAACCCTAAAAACCATTTATTTTTAACCTTTTTTTAGGACCTCTAACCCTAAAGATGTGGATTTTTGATTTTATTCAAGGACCTCTACCACAATAACCCTGGAGTTTTGAATATATTTTCCTAGCAGACATCTAACTCAATAATTGTTAAATTATTTTTTCCAAGAAACTAAAAATCATGGATTTTTCAAAAATATTTCTTTATGAACCCCTAACTCAAAAATAGTGGATTTTTTGAAATTATTTCTTTAAGGAACCCTAACTCAAAAATAATGGATTCTTTAAAATTATTTCTTCAATGACTTCTAAACCTAAAAATAATTTATTTTTTAAATATTTCTTCAAGGACCTCTAACCCTTAAGTTGTGGATTTTTTAAATGTTATTCAAGGACATCTGCCACAATAGTCATGAAGTTTTGAACATATTTTCCTTACAGACCTTTTAAGAATATTTTCCTCAAGGCTTTAATCGTTAATTTATAGACAATTTTTTCAAGAAACTTTAACCATTAAATGATAATAGTGAAATGCTTAATGACCTCAAACAAAGTAAAAAAGAAAATATGCACGATTAATTTTAAAAATATTTCATTACTCACATGATGTGGCACCAATTCGTCATATCCACGATTACTGCCGGTGGCACAGCAAGCCATTGATACCAAAGCAGCCGATGGCAACAAATCGTATACCGAACGCTTTTCGACCGGCGAAGGATTGTCATGGGTCTGATCCATGAACAGAGCATGCGCAATACTGGGTGCCAAATCTCGTTTGGGATTGACAAAGAATGCTCCGACCGGTTCACCACCATAACGATACACCAGGCGTCCCTCTTCATGGGAATCCCAGGCCGATAGAGCTTCTCGTATCAACGAAGTTATGCCCAAACGATTGACAAAGACATTATCCGTGCCGTCGGAGTTCGTGAAAAGTTCCGCCACAACATACAAATCCGGATTTACTTCACGGGCAGCATCCAAGAGGTATTCGGCCACATGCAACGGTGTCGAATGGCAGTTATCCAAACGTACACCATCAAATATACGGGCCGTGGTCTGGACATATTCGGTCATGTGACTCCAGAGGTGGGGACTATCTTGAGGCCTGCGACCATAGCGCAGTTTTACACTGTCTCCCCAGGCAATGAGTTCGCGTTTCAAATAGACATTGGCATGGCCGGGCTGCTTTTCGGCAAAATCTTTTAGCGGATCACTGGCACCCATGACCCAGCCATTGTGGGCCATAAAGAATTCGCCCATTTTTCCGTACATACCCTGCTCGATTTCTTGCAACGATTTTCCCAGGGCCTTGGTTTTGGTGAAGTATTCCATGAACACCTTATGTTTTTCGGATATTTCTCGAATCCTGGGTCCGTCCTCCTGTACACGTTCATAACGTATTCCGGCCAGACAATTGCCCACAGCGTAGTTGAGATAATCTTGTATTTCGGATCGTACCTCCTCGTTCAACCATTCCAGATGGCGTCGGAAGGTATCGGCACATTTACGCAGACGAGCCTCTTCATCAAAGCAATCCGGATGGAAAGCATTGAAAATATCCATGGCCAATTCCAAATCGATGGTGGCTCCGAAACGACGATATTCGGGATCTGTGATCAGTTTAATTTCGCCAAAACGTTCCGTCTTGGCGACATTGGTGGGTGGCTCCCGTTGACGACATAGCGTAATAAATTCGTTGGTATACTTCATCACATTACACTGGTACAATTCGTGGATATTAACCTTGGGCAGATACACGGTGTGCAGTTGGAAACTCAAAGATTCCAAATGCCCCTCCCATTCAATCATTTTTGGGACTCCAACACTGTCGAGCAAACCATTGGCAATATCCTCACCACACTTGGCCAACACGGCATCGAGTAAGAAAGCAGGCCTCAAATAGGGACATGTAGCACAGGAATATGTGGCATCGGGGTATTCCAATAGCCATTCCGATTCGTTGGCTGTGTGATTCAAAACAATATCACAAATGGAGGCAACCTGGAGAGTGGAAAGAAAATTAGATTAAGTTTTAGAAAATACCGATACTGTGTAAGTGCACCTCAAGAAAACGTTTTCGGATTATAAAATGAAATTCCAATTCAACTCTAATTCATATTTTTTATCTTTATGGATTTCATACAAGGAAGGTTTTCCGAAGAACCTCAAACTCAATAATCGTCGATGACTTTCAAAGATCTTCAACTTAATAATCGTCGATTTTTTGAAGAATATTCAAGGATCTCTGTTTACAAAAGGTGTATTTTTAAAGGATATTTTCCAAGGACCCTTAACTAAATAGTCGTAAACTTTTAGAAGAATATTTTACAAGGACTTCTAACTCAATAATAGTTGATTTTAAAGAATATTTTCTGAAGGACATCTTTCTCAATAATCGCGGATCGCGGATGGTTCTTAAATAATACTATTCAAGAACATCAAACTCAATAATAGTGCATTTTGTAGAACTATTTTGAAGGACCTTTACTTAGATTTTTAAAGAGTATTTTTCAAGTACTTCTCTCTCAATAATAGTGGGATTTTCAAGGACCTATAACTCAGTAATAGTTAGTTTTTAAAGGATATTTTCAAGAACTTTGAACTCAATAGTCATAAACCTGTAGAATAATATTTTTAAGGACCTCTTACACAGTAATAATTGAAAAGTACTTTTCAAGGATATCTAACTCAATAATCGAGAATTTTTAAGAATTATTTTAAAGTAGAGGTTCTTCGGGACAAATATTTTTCAATGAAAATCGTGGATTAAAAAATATTTTTCTAGACTTTTAACCCCAAAATCGTGGAGTTTTTGAAGAGTATTTTCAAGGACATTAAACAGAAAAATCTTATAATTTTAAGAACAGTACTTGGGACTTCCAACTTAAAGATCGTGGGATTTTAAAGGATATTTTTTCAAGGACCTCTAACTTAAAAATCGTGGGGTTTTAAAGGTAAATTTTCAAGGACCTCTAACACAACTATCGAGGGCTATAAGAAATAATTTTCAAGGATATTAAAAAAATTTTAAAGGACTTCTCTTTTAAAGGATATTTTTCAAGGACGTCTAACAAATTATCGAGTGTTTTAAGAAATATTTTTCAAGGATATTAAAAAATAATTTCATAGGACTTCTAAACCGGTTTTAATGTAATTTTTATAAAGAGACTCTCTTTTAATGACCGCGGAGTTTAGGAGAATTTTTTAAAAACTTTAACACATTTTTACTGGATCTTAAAAAGGGTATTTTAAAAGTATCTGTAACTAAATACACATCCTACTTACCCCCCATTCTTGGCGACATTTCTTGACGATTTTCTCCACATCATCGAATGTCACCTTGACACCCTTCGACGGGGCAAAGTGAGGATTTACACGATTCTGATTGCGCAACGAATAGGCCGATTTCGAGGCACCCAATTCTTGTATTGGGGTAAAATGTATCATATTATAGCCAGATTCTTTGGTGACACGCAGTTTCTGTTCCCAGGTGTTGATGGGACCCAACAGTTTCGATAACACCGTTTGACAACGTACAGAATCCAGTGGTATGACTTTTTGGGCTCCAATGGGGCCAACATGCAAGATGGGTTCCACTTGAATGTAAAGCGATCCAGCCGGCAATTGTTTGGGACTGAAATTCGAAAATATATTTTCTAAATAATTTGAAATATGAAATATGTTAAGGTACTCACCAATCCTTGTAGTGGAACCAAAAACGGAATGTTCCCGACATTGTCATTTTCACTTCCGTATAGATGTCCGTATCGACCACATGGGCTGAGTTGTATTTATTGGTTGTGATTTTGGTACCATTTTTCAAATACCAATATAAGATTCGATATTCGGTGCGCTTGAATTTCTTGCCTAAAATAGATTAAATAATTTAATTTAATAAAACGATTATACAATCTGCAATACCTACCCTCCATGGGATAATTGGTGTAGAGAACAATTTCACGCCCCAACAGACCAGCATCGGGATGAACATGCACGGTGGAACCACGTTTAACGCGATACAGCACATGCTCGGCATCGTTGCCTTCCTTTATGGGTACACTAAGACACTCCGCATTGGTACCCATTTTTATAGTCTAAAATATAAAAACAAGAATTAGGGGATTTGAGTTCAAATCAACAGATATTTGTAAATACAGAGAACAAAGTTAGCTGGAGGGTAACATTTTTAATTCACAGGGATTGTGGTGCGTATAAGTAATATGAATTGTTTTCTCTGTGGTATCACAGAGCGTATGATTTATTTTTGAAAATTAAATGATCATACTTTGAGCTTTCAAATTCAGGTCTCTTTTTCTATAGCCACAACAATTTTAATGTCTCAGATATACTGAGAACTCTTTTGAATTTACAAAACTATTTGATCTGGCCTTTTCAGATATCTTGCTTTCTATAAAAAAAGTTTAACAATATTAGTCGGTTTCGCTGACGGATGTATACCCTCAGCCAATATTCGTTTATTTAAATATATTTTTACTTGCGTTATATTTATTCAAACTGTTGACCCCTTATTGAGGTAGTTCCAAATGAATCGGCCAATATTGTCAATTTTGGCATAAGTCTGATATAAATATGGCAGATTTTAACTATATCGACTACTTCCTTTACTTTATGTGGAAATATACGTGAGGTAACAGATATAGCGGACCGAAGTATTCCATTTTCATACTTCATCTAATATAGATAAAAATATTGATATGTGCTAAATTTGAAGGAAATCGTACTTTTATATTCAATTTTATGCGAAATCATAAATTCTGATAGGTAATATATTCATATCAGATTGATGGTTAATTGAAGTATTTAGATACAGTGATATATATGATGTGATAGACATAAATATTAAAAATTGTGACCCTTTGTGGGTGAGGTATCACAACAGATCTTGGAGGGTACCAGAAGAAATGGTGCGATCTCTACCATCTTTACAACACATTTTGTGTTGATAGAAATATTGAGATGTACCAAGTCTGAATGGAATCGGACGTTATTTTCGCATTGTATGAGCTTCATGGCTACTCAAATGTGTGTGGGGGAGGTACCAGAAGGATTGTCCACTCCAACTTCACACCAGATCTGGGTTATTAAAAATATTGTCATGTGTAATTTGAAGAGACCTGGATGCTTATTTCGGATTTTATGATCGTTTTGGCTATTCAAAATGTTGATCCTTTGTCGGGGAGTTACCAGAAGGAATGGTCCGATCTCGACCATCTTTATAACAGATCTTGTGTTGATGGAAATATTGAGATGCGATAAATCTGAATGGAATCGGATGTTAATTTCGTGTTTTATAAGCTTCATGAATATACAAAAAGTTGACCCTTTGTGGGGAGATACCAAGAGAAGTGGACCGATATATTCCATCTTCTCACCAGTCATTGAATTAATAAAAATGTTGTGATGTGCTTAATTTGAAGACAATCGGACTCTTACATCACATTTTAGAAGAGTTATTGTCATTCAACATTTTGACCCTTTGTGGGGGAAGTACTTGATGGAGTGGACCGATATTGTCCATTTGCGCAGATGACCTAACATTGATGCAAATATTAAGATTTGCGAAGTTGGAGCACATTCGAATTCTCCTTTCTCTTTCTGTGCAGTATATTATTTTCTTCGAAAATGTTGAAATTTTGTGGGGATGCTAGCAAAAGGAGTGGACCGATATTGAGGAGTAAGATTTTTTTCTCTATAAACATTTGTCATGGCAATTTTTATACCCTCCATCTTGAAAAGGAGGGTATATTAACTTTGTCATTCCGTTTGAAACATCCCTTAATATTCGTAGTAGACCCCATGAAGCATATATATTCATGACCAGCATAAAATTCTAAGTCGACTTAACGTTGTCCGTATGTCTGTTGCAATCACGTTACAACCCACATTATTTGACGCTGAGCTTCAAAATTTTGCAGAACAATTTGAGAATGTGATATACCGGTCCACGTTTTGGTATAGTCCTTATACTACGGTATCACCTGAAATTTGGTATTTTGATTATTTTTGCTACATTTTTCAAGAATTTGTCTAAAAATTGGTATTTGTGGGTAATAATGGGTACTAGCTCCGGTGACGAAACATTATATATATATGTCCGCAGTTTGGCATATTCCCCATATAATGGTATTTTCCCACGGATGTGTCTAATAATTGACATTTGTAGTTCATAATGGTTTCTGGCTCCGGTGACAGAACATTGAATATTTAGGTCCACGTTTTGGTATTGTCCCCACATAATAATACCTCCGGATATTCAGTATTTTTGATGATTTTTGCCATATTTTTCCACAGATATGTCTAAAAATTGGTATTTGTACAGCGAAATGGTTTTTAGCTCCGGTGGCAGTACATTGAATATTTAGGTCTACGTTTTCCATATATAACCCAGCAATATTTGATATTTTGATATTCCAAGTCACATTTACCCACGAAAGTGTTTCAAGTTTGGTATTTAAGAAAATTTAGTAGATTTGAGATGACAATCCTTGAAGTATAAAATTGTCCATAGAGTTTCCCGTTTTGGTATAGCACCCATATAACGGTTTCACTTGTTATCAAACTTAGATAGAGTGAGAATATGGCAATATTGTTCCACTCCTCCTGGTACTCCCCCAAAAAGTACAACATTTTGAAAAACCAAATCAAAAAAAAAAAAAAAATAAATAAATAAATAACCCCATAGAAGGAGAATGGCTTATCCGATTTTGTTTAAACTTCGCAAATCTTATTATTTGTATCAGTACTAGGTTAGGCAAGGAAACTTATAACATCGGTCCACTCCTCATATATAGGTTAATAATTAAATAAAATTAGGTCAAATAATAAGTCGTCATGTTTTTTACTTGTTTTGTAAAGAATTTGTTCTCAGCCGCTGAGAATCTTTTCTATTTTTATAGAAAACAAATTTCTGAGGAATTAAAAAAAAAAAAAAAAAAAAATATATATATATATATATATATATATATATATATATATATATATATATATATATATATATATATATATATATATATATATATATAGTTTTGTTTAGCTGATTATTTAATTTTCTATAAAAAATTGTCCTCAGCAATTAAAAAAATGCTGACTTTTTTTGTCTTCAGTAGGGATAAAATATTTTGATTGAATTTTTTTCTACATAAAATATATTTCCTAAATTTTCTATTATTATTTCCATTTTTATAATTGCTTTTTGAGCAAATAACAACTAATGGATTTGTTTCAATGATTTAAAAAATTTAGTAAAATTTCTTTAATACTTGTTTATGGTCCTTGTGACATGGCTTCAAGCGTTTCAAACATGATGCCAGCAAACTGAAGCAACCACAGCCCATTTTTACAGTTAATTCGATATTCGCCAATTGTTCTTTTTCGTTTTTTTTTTGAATGGTCTAGTAATTTATGCGTCATAGATATTTATTTATCTAATGGAGATTTTATTCAACACGCGCTCTTTTAAGGTCATCTTCGAAAGAAACACACAATTTTCGTCACTTTCACGATTCTGGCATTGCCTTCTTTCGTTTTCTTTTTGGGTTTTAAGTAATTTATCAATAACTTTCAATAAAAAAAGTCTCTTGTCGTTGTTGTTGTTGTTGTTGTTGTTTTTGTGTATATTTTTATTATTATGTCATAATAACTCAATGTCAGGCGGGACACTGTCTCCTCATAACTTTCAATTGAGACCCAATGTCATTCAGAAAAACAAAAATGAGCGAGACAAACGAAAAAAAAAAACAAATTTCAACAGGGCGTCCGACCGACCGACCAACAAATCTTGACGACCTTTCAAATGTTGCTTCGATTAATAACTACCATCCAGCGGAGGCTGTGCTGATCACAAGCAGTCCTAACATTGAATTCGCCGTAATCTTTGATTGTTGTTGCAATGGCGCCACCAATGACATTCAAATCATCCACATTGGATTGTATTTAATTGCAATCGCTTGTTGTTGTATGTAAAGTGATCTTATAAATGTGAAAGTAAACTGATTCTGATCTTGTTTTGGACCTATTATTCGTATTTATATATGTACTCGAATGTCATACAATATTTTCTAAATCGACTCGCTTATCACAATGTAAGTGAGATGAGAACATTTATTGTTGTTATTTGCAATATTTACACTGGTCGTCAATTTATGTGGATGATGGAATAGTTAAATTCATCGCTCAGGAAATAGCGAATTTTTATTCTCTAATTGTGAAAATAATTTCATTTTTGATGATTTTTTTTTCTTATGGACAAAGAATTAGTTTTCTACACACAAAAAATCTTCAGGTTGTAGGTACAGGGTTGCCTATATACGACGGACCCATCTGGCAACGCCATAACTTTTGACAGAGATGTCACATCGCTTAATGACATACCGCGTTTGAAGCGTCAGTCCAAGCAGATTTTTTACCATGAACCAAAACACGCCACGCGAGCGCTCTGAAATTTTCATTCAACAGAAGAAGTCAATTGTGAAAACTCAACGTGCTTTTAAAACATTAAAAAATGTGAGAAGTGCGCCTTCTAAGAACACCATTAAGCGTTTATACGAAAAATTTTCGACTGGAAAGGCTCTTTCTAATCCGAAGAGGCCATATAAAAGTCGACCAAGGCGATCGGCCGAGAATATCGCTGTCGTACGAGCCAGTGTTGAGAGGTCCCCAAGAACCCCAAAAACGCCGTTCTCAGCAGTTGGGCATGGCTCAGTCCACTTTACAACGGATTATTCGCATTGATGAAATTCAATTGACGCAAAGAATGTTGCCTGCGGACAAGCCTCGTCGATTGGAATGGGCCCAAAGGTCCGTCGAATATGGGCAAGCCTCTATGTATTTTTAAAGTTAAAAATTTTCAATGTCCTTTGATTGTTTTAACCTAATTTAGTTTCTTTATTTATCCTAATTCTGATATAAATAATACAATGTATCAGACATGGTACAATGTGGAGGTAGAAAAGCTTAGAAAATTACAAAAATACAGTCCTGGGGCTATGTTCGCTTTCTGACAGTATTATTCCGAATATGCAACAAGTTGTTTCGCACTTTTTTTTTTGATATTTTCCCTTTTTTTAAAAATGAATTAAATACCGCAAAAGATGCACGAAACTTTGGATTTTCCTTTCAAAAATTGTGATCCAAACTGTTTAATCTATCAATTCAATGGCAAAATTGCTTAATATCTTTAATACGCGCCCACAATGTACGTGTATTGAAATCATTGATTGTGTGGCAGGAATTAGAAACAATGGATCGATATATTCCATTTCCACTTTTTATCCTTATCTTTTATAAATATTTAAAATTTTAAAACTTTCTGGAGGTACCGGAAGGGGTGGGCCGAGACATTCCATATCAACACTACATCTTATTAGGTAATAATATTACGATGTGCCAAGTTTTAAAAGAACCGTATTTGCATTTTATGGTCTCAAAATGTTGAGCCGTTGTGGGGCAGGTATCAGATGGAGTGGACCTTATTTCCCATATTATAAGAGTCATGATTATTCAAAATGTTAATCCTTTGTAGGGGAGGTAATAGAAGGGGGGAAGGGCCGTTGTTAAACGTTTTCTCACCTGACCTAGTAGTGATACAAATATTTGTATTTGGCAAGTTTAAACAAAATAGTGAGGTATCAGAAGGCGTGGAACGAAATTACCCATATTCGAACTCTATCTTGTAACAAAAAAATGTTTACAAATGTGTTCGATAATCCAAAAGCCAAAAAATGAAAGTGGGTGAAGAAATAGTAGTGAGTTAACTTCCTGCAGGGGTGCTGTCAATTTACAGACAGATCTTTTTATTAAGCAGTTCTTTTATTTGAATCTGTTTATCACAGCGACTGTCTTGAAATCTCTACATTCTACGTGTTATTGTTTGTCATTTTTATACCCTATATGTGAAAAGGAGGGTATAATAACTTTGTATATACAGGGTGAGATGAAAAAACTGCAACCAACTTCAGACTGTTGTTATTTCTATGTCACTCGTCCGACATTTGTTAAAATAATTCCAGTGACAGCTCATTATATTGTCTACAAGCGTACAAAAGTATTTTGGTGAGAATTTTCCGGAAGAAAAGTTATTCATGATGGTATTCAAGCGTGAAATGGTTCGAAAAGTAAAGAAGCGACTTGATCGAAACCCGCGTCGCAGTGGCCGAAAAATGGGTCGTGAGCTGAACATATCGCAATATTGCATTCGACATGGTAGTGGTATATCCGCTATATAACCGTACTTCCCAATATTCGGTATTTTTATGATTTTCGCCACATTTTTTCACGGATTTTTCTAAAAATTGGTATTAGCTTCTTTGACGAAACATTGTATGTATAGATTCACTCATGTAATAGTACCTCCCGATATTTGGTATTTTGATGATTTTAGTCACATTTATCCACATATTTGTCCAAAAATTGGTATTTGTAGTTCGTAATGGGTTCTAGCTTCGATATAACAGTACCCATCGATATTCGGTATTTTGATAATCCTTGTCACATTTACCCATGAAAGTGTTTCAAATTTGGTATTTAAGAAGATTTGGTAGATGATAATCCTTGAAGTATAACATTGTCTATAGAGGTTCCCGTTTTGGTATTGTCCCCATATAAAGGCTTCCCACACTTTAGGTTTTTTTGAAAAGCTTGACAACATTGTGAAAACGATCTTACTGGTATTTTTAGTTTAAAGTGGAACACGTTTGAATTCAGATACCTGCAAGAATTTACAAGTTTTGGATTTTTTTGTCAATATCATAAAGGGAAATTGGTTATCGTAAACCAAACTTCCAGATTATTGCAGTCCTGGGACAGAGTAGGAAATTACTTCAGGATTTGAGAAAAGTTTCCAGTGTCGGTTAACAGGTTTGGAAAAAAACGGCCAACTTCTGAAAATCGAATTTCCAGAGAACAGATTTTGGATAGAAAATATTCATTTGTTCAAGATAATAATTGAGTAAACTTTTTTTTTGAAAAAAAAAATTGCAATTTCTGAGAAAAGGTATTTAACGAACAAAAAAAAATCATTCAAAAATATTAATAAATAAATAATATCATAACATTTTTAACCGGTATTTCTTTGTTGTCTAGTGTTTTGGTTTCGGCTTGGTCACAGATGGCAGGCGAATGTGGTTCAGTTGATAAGGCGTAGGACTCACATCACATTTCACGGGCGCATGCCAGTTTTGTCGCAATCATGGCAAGAAAAAATCAAAAAAAAAAAAAAAAACGTACACACCAGCATCTAATTATGGAAATTATGCACATTTTTTTTGTTATTGTTGTTACAACAAAACATGGACGTCACCGGCATTCAACAGAGTTTGGGATGACTGGAAATAAATTCACTGCACTGAATCACAACACAACTTGAACGCATCACTGGCAAACATGATCACTCTACTTGCACACGAACTGACACGATGATAATTGCAATAAGATTATCATTTGTTTTTTTTTATTTTAATTTCTTTTGTGTTTTTGTTTGTTTATTATTTTTTTAACATACCTCCTCATAACTTTTCGGTTTGGCCGGTTTATTACCCATGACAATGGCTTTGGCATAGGAGAGCTCTTGTTGTTGCTGTAGCGGTAGTTGTTGGGTTATTTCGATTTTATCATTGGCGATGGCATTGTCATCATCGATAACCGTAAAACTTTGCCGATAGTTATCAAGTGGCGTTGCCGGTACACTATCACTCTCATCCACTTGGATGTGTTGTTGTTTTACGATGGCCGGTCGTCTCTTCTCCACAGTGGCCCCATTGTCATTTGGTTTGGGAACCTCAACTTGATTGGTGATCTGTTGGAAGCGTTCGTAGGCCCAACGAAAGACATAGAAGCCCAGGCAAACAGTCAAGACCGTTGCGAAGTTTCGCTGAACCACTCGGAAGATCCATTGCAGACCGTCTTGTAACCACATAATGGAGATGGAGAGTCGTTGCTGCTGATGTTTTTTTTTTGCAAGCTATTAAAATTGTCTTTTTGTTCGTGGTTTTTTTTTTTAGAAAATAATCTATGCAGATTTATTTTTATTCGTTTTGCATGATAATATGTCCATTTCTAGTATACAAAACACAACACGGCGAGCGGTGTGATGGAACAGCAGGCAGCAGGCAAGCACAATACAATTAGACAAACCAACCAACCAACCGACCGTACGGTTCGGCAGCAACAAGTCAAATGATGCCGCGCCACACAAAAAAATATTCTAAAGTAATTGAAGCAATCGAATAATGGAGCATTTTGAAAATGAAAACGAAAAAAAAAATGATCCGCACACATAAACGTCGATACAAATTGAAAGCTGCCGAAAGTCGAATTGCTGATGGAGATGAAGGAGACAAATAACAAAAAAAAATTAGTCAAGAACATGATGTGACAACTCAATTGGAGACTTGAGTTTTATTCCATAGAAACAAATGTTTCTCAAAACATGTGAATGGGTTTAGTTCCATCACAAAAAAATTCTCAGGTCATAAATTTTTTATTCCCTCAGCCATGTGGCTACAGAGAGTATATAGCATTTAATACGGTCTTTAGACCAAATCCGTTTCAGATATTTGGAGTCGATCTAGCAATATCTGTGCTTCCGTTCGTCTGTCTGGCTGGCTGTGCACCATAACTCTCGAAGGGAGTATCCGACTAAATCCGAATTTGGTACATCATAATATTATTATCAAACTTAGATCGAGTTCGGAGATTGGCAATATCGGTCTACTCCATCTGTTACCTTCCACACAAAATGTCAATATTTTCAAAGAAAATAATTTACTGCACAGAAAGAGAAAGAATTATCCGATTTT